TATAAATACTTCCACAACTGCAAGATTACTGTTATTTACAGCGAAATCAGATACTAGCGAATGCATGCCGGCAACCATAATAACGTTCACTTCGACCACATCCACGACGAGTGAATCCATGCCGGCACCCATAATAAAGTTCACTTCGACCACATCCACAACCACCAAAACACTGCAATACACAGCACATTCTGATGAGCGGGCATTTGGCGCGGGCAAATAGAGGGGGAGGGGGGGGGGGCGTAAACCCAGCATACATATACCTCTAGACCCCAGTTTCCATGCTGTTTTCGGTGTGCTTTCCCCTTGAATTTCCATTCCCTACAAAGAACCCGCAAGTAAAGTGCTGAGGAAAGATATGGTGGAGATGCCTACTTCGATGAGTCGTGGAAGCCCACTCTGAAGTAGCTTCAGGTTTAGGATTCGGGGGCTTCAGATTTGGAGTTTTGCGGTATGGGTTTGGGGATGGTGATTTGTGGTTTACAGATTTAAGATTTTTGGCTTTGGATTGGGCCTTTAGGGTTGCACTTCTCAGGTTTGCTGGCATCTTCAACTGGCTAGTTGCTTTAAGACCCTGAGCTGACACAGCACATGCTTGGGGCCCAAAGGGTTCCTACATGGGTGCCTTGGGGCCGCGTGCTGCTTGGGAGTTCCTACACAACCCTTAAAGCGGACTTCAAGATTTGCCTTGCAATCCCATATATACCCTTAGTTGATTGCTTAATCCTAGATCCTGGTTCTTACACGCTACACACTAGACACCTTAGCCCTCAAATCCGAATCTCTAAGCCTTAGTCTATAAACCCTAGATCCTATGCATCCTTCTGAATCCCCAAGCCCTAAGCCCAAATTTGCCAGGGGCTAAAGCGCTAAGCCAACCGAAGTAAGGAAGCCGGTCATGATCGTGGATCATGGCCTTGGTGCCATGTGGGAGGACCCGGAACTCTCCAAAGTAGCCCCTTGACTGAGTGTTGAAGGATTGGAGTTTGGCTTAGGCTCCATGTGCTGTAGTCCGTCAACTGAAACAGTCTGTGGGAGTTCTCAGAAATTGGTGGTCCTTTTTTGGGGGAGTGGTTTCTGTACGCGCAATTTAATTATGCCGAGGGTACCCAAGGAATTACAGTAGTGCCACTGGGTAGCTTGGAGTTGGGAGAGCCAGCTTCTGCGTGACGCCCGCATGCGCGATAGTCCAAACTCCTTAAAAGGGGATCATGGTGACTGTGAGGTTCACGGGGATATATGGGGTTGCTGACTTGCTGGACTTGCTGTTTCTTTGTAGTAGACACTGGAGGAATGAACCCCTGTAGTAGCCAGTATAGCCCCTAATAATGTGGTAGCTTTTTTTTCGTTCCACCATGCTCTACTTACGACCAGTCACCTTCGCGCAGGTGACGAAGCCGGGAGATGTTGCATCTGGATCACCGTTTGGGATCCTTTCTATGTTTTGGGGCGCGGATTTCCCTATAGAACTACAGAAAGGATCCCTTTTTTCTTTCTGTAGGGGAAGACGGACCAAGGAATGGGAGCGTGCAAAGTTTCGTTTTCGATCGTCGCTCTTCGTGCTGGTGACCAGGTTAGCAGTGTGGATGCTGTGTATTGGGCTGGGGGCTTCTGGGCTTGGACGCCTAGATCCTCACTGGAAATGGTAGGTGCAGTTTAGCCCAGGGGTTTAGGTGGTGATAGTGATACCTGAAAAAGTCAGCGCTCAATTGACAGGGTTTGGAGTCTAGATCCACAGCTCAATGACCGCTTGGGATTTACAGGGAAAGGGATCATCTGTAGACTACCGCCCTTTAAAACGAGCGCGACATGAGGTTTCCATGTTACCTTGTCAGTTTGGGGCAGGGTGTACCCTGAATCTAAACCCTACATACCCGTACATCCGTTAAAAAAGGCTACGTTAGACATGTCTTTTGCATAACATGATGCGGCTTTCGAGGATCCTTGCGCGAACCCTGGGTCATCTGGTGCTCTTCTGCATCAACCCCAGAACTTACCCAAAACCGACGATATACTGCGGCTGTATGTAGGGATAGATAGGGATGGGTTTGTGTGCGTCAGGGCTTGTGGGTTGGGGTCACCTCTATACTTCTCCCAGGGTCCCCGTACCCAAACGTGGGGTTCCCAAAGGGCACATGCTTCTGTAGCTGTAGCAGCATATGCCACATCTGCCTGCCTAACTGAGTGGAACTCGAAGCCCATCAAACCCCAAACCATGTACTGTTCTTTCTGAACCCCAACCCCTAGTCACGCGAGCTATGGGTTTGACTCGAAGTGTGAAACCCATATGTAATATGGGTTCAGGCTTGCGGAAGTGTAGGATGTAAAGTAGGATTTTAAATGTGGTTTTGGGCGGGTGTATACAGGGTTCTCAGGTAATGCTGGTGACTGCATATACAGATGTCATTTGGGGAAAACCAACGCCTAAACCCTAAACCCTGAAACCTAGACAACTGCATCTGAGAATTTTGCGCGGGTCTGCCGGGAGGAGATCGGGTATTCGAATTACTTTAGCAGAGTTGTGCAGGATTTCTTCCATCAACAGTAAAAAGGGCACACGATAGCCCCGAACATAGAGTAAGATAATATTCTCCTTCTGACTGCAGTGAAGAGTGCACTACTTCTCTTGGTTCAGCCAAGAAAAAAATACTTCTCAGGTGACATGTGGTAGACCTTCATGCTCCGGGCCAGCCCCGATTTTGAGAAACCCCCAAACCACGGAAGAAACTTCCAAGGTGACACTGGTGGACCACCTCTACCACATCCACCTGCAAACCGCGAATTTGTTCGTTACGTCGCTTCGGGAAACGCTCCCTCCTTTCCATCCTATCCGCAGGTGGCGTGGCTCAGGGTTTAGGATTTGTGTTTATTGCTCAGGGATTAGTGCTTAGGGTTGTTGTGGCTTTGTGTACACTTGTTATGTTTACTGTAGTATAAGTAAAGCTTCTCTCACCTGTTTAATGCAGATCTGAGACAGATTGCTGTCCAAAGGTTTCTCACGCCTTTCACGTATCAGACGCTTGGCTCGGGAATTTAGACGTTTTAGGTTTCAAGCTTAGGGTTGAGGGTGGAAGTTTGCGAGGAGTACATGGTGCCTGCTTTTCTTCTGGCAAACAGCTGGAGCTTCAAACGTCTTGATGTCAACAAAAGGTTCTATCGTTCAGGGATGCGGCCTTCAGAGCTTTGGGGTATGGATTATAGAGTTTGGGGGTTCAGGGTTTGTGGTTTGAGGTATACAGCTTGTAAGTGCATCCTTATCACGGACATTGCTAGACCCTCCCCAGCAATAATTTCTCCATGGCCCATTGTTCTGGGCTTAAGATTGTGCAGTTTGGATATGTTTTAGTCTACAAGTCATCTTTCGATTCATCCCAGGTTCATACAAGTATCTCAAAACCGAACCCCCTGTAGAGACTTGGAAAACTTAGGACCATTTCTATCAATGACAACGCGAAGTTCAATCTTGTGGCGCCGAGGCTGTTGGGTATACTGCGGTTCTAGGCATCCGATCAACTGTGAATTCTTACTTGGGGGAGTTTGTCCAAATAGTCGCAGGCTAACCCGATAGGGATCATATGCCCTAGGGTTCCCAAGAGTACCTCTGGTTTGGGAAACCTTGTATCCTTCTCATGAATACCCTGGACCTCAAAGCGTGGAGGGGTTGAGCGTGCCGGTTGCCTTCTCAAGCAACGTGACGACACAGCAAATCACCGCAAGATTGTGCGCCTGCTAAGATGGGCGAACATGAGATTAAGGGGTTTATAAGGTCTAGTGGCCCCCCTTTTGGTGTCATTGGCGTAGCAATTCTGTTCAGGGAGGATGGTCTGCGTGTCATAGCTGCGATATCACCGTAATCCTGAGCACTTCTGGATGTCAGAAATGGCCATGTAGAAGCCTCCCTTGAGATCCGCAAGCACAGACCCTCATGGCTGTATATTGAACTTCCTCTGCTACCCTGACCCATTTGCCTTAAACTCATACCCCTGACAGGTCAATGGGTCCGCGCTGCTTTGCATTTACAGAGAAAGGTCTAGAGCTACCTGGCTGAAAGAAGAAGGTGGACCAGATTCTTCATTATTCTAATGTTCTATTTTTGATGGGAAACCTTGCACTACCACATATTCCAGGAAGTACAGCTGTTTGAGGACTGTAAGTGTTGCATGATTTCCTCCACCCGCCTCAAAACCACAAATCGTGGATACTCTAGTCCCCTAAAACTGCAGTATCAATAGCAGTGATTGTAGCAATTAGGTCACGCAGGATTCACTCCATCAACCGCAGTGACGGTACCGTATGTTCTTGATTTTGCTTTCCTGCACCACGGTACTGAAATCCTGCACGACCCTGTAAGACTGAAGTAGAGCTGAGGTGCGTTGGGCCATGCAGAATCATTGGTAGCAACAACATCGCACAATTGTCCTAATTGGCTGCCTTCTGGACCCCCCCTACGCCCTTAAACCCCTCGACTCCTCTACCCAACAGACTTGCCAGATCCACAGTTCCAAAACCACAAGGCATTCAACTCCTACATGTGAAAACAGTAAACTCCTACTTATCCAGCACACAGGCTAGCTTTTGCAGCAGCTCCACACATCATTGTGCCCGGGGCAAGCGACGTCTTCAACTTACGGGCGTACATCCACAAGTTGAAGGATTGCCTGTAATTGGTGTGTCAGCGAGCGTAGCGGGTTTGAGGATCAGATTCAGAAAATGCATGCGCAGATGTCTGGTTTCGCAAGCTAAGAATACCTTCAGGAGCCCCAAGTTGCAGGGTCCCCTTTCGGAATTATACAAGGCTCATGGTGAAAAAATCCCATGCAGAAATGAGGGCTACACATAGGGTAGGGTTGGGGCAGAGGAAAAGATGGTAGGAAGTTGAAGGGCATGGTTCGTCAACTTGGGCTCAGAGCTCAGGCTACAAATTTTGGGATTTGCGTGTCTAAGGAATTGTTGAGGAGCTCATTTGGATTGTACACTACAGGTTTTGGATCCGTTGAAGGGGCCGGCTACACCTTTATGAGGTTTAGATTTACAGGGTTTGGACGGGGTGACGAGATTGAGGGTTGCTTTGGGTTTGGGATCTAAAGGTTTGGCCTTTAGGGCCCAGGATAGCTCGAGTGCATGCGGAATTCACATGGAGAATGCCGTGGTTACTAGACATGAAGATTGTAATGTAAAGTAATGTTATATTCGAGTCAGAGCGGAGTTCTCGCACAATAGGGTGATCAACTGCAAGTGGTTATGCAGCGTTAACCTTGGTGATCCCGCAGCGCGCAGTCCTGACCCTAAACCACATGTATACAGAGCACAGGCACCCTAAGGTATAGGGTGTGGGGACCGAATCCGAAATGGGAGTTTCTCAACATTACCTTTATATAAGGCCGTGTAAGGCCTAGAACCCCCATAACCCCCCTATATCGCTAGGGTCCCTTGTTGAGAAACTACCGCATCTTCAGCAAAAAGCAGGCGAGTGGAGTTGACACCGAGTACTGGCGGCAGGCTCTGCAGCTCTATGAAATCATGGAGCGATTTGTTGAGAGTCTTGGCTGCTGAGTGTTGGTAGGGCCTGGGGTTTAGGGTACAGCTCTTGCGGCTGGTACGTAGATAGCGTATGCTTTGCGCCCACAAGAGCCTGAAACTTGGGGGTCTACATTTACATTCCTTACATGACTCGGGTACATGAACTCTAATGTCAAGGCCATCTCTTTAGCTTTTTCTGGAGACGTTTGTTTTCAGGTTGTGTGGGCTTGAAGGTTTTCTAGCATTTAGCCTCGTTGACACGGTTGTGGTTTTGGGGCTTCTAAGTGGTCTGATCTAGTCTTTGAAGGCTTGGTCCCCAGTTCGTGAAGAAATCGTTACTTGATTAGGGGATTCTGCTTCCGGGAGAAAGGATGCTTCAGCCTCAAATCAGTAATTCAGCATCTATTCCTGCAGACAAGACAATACTAGTCTTATTTACATCTGTTTGATATCCAGAAAACCGTAAGCCCCCAAACCCGACGCCTATATGCCCGAAACCCTGAGACACGAAATCCCAAACTTCCTTTTTTTTGTGTGCACTGCATTGCTCAGGGGTTATCTGCAGTGCTGCTCTGGCAGAAGGCTGGCAAAGTTTTTTGTTTTCTTCGGATTTTTGAGGTTTAGGACTTAAAGAGTTGTAGAAAAGGAACAAATGTTAGGGATCCAATACGAACTATTGTTAGACTTCAATCCCCCATTCCCTACAAAGTATCAAAAAGAGTTCGGGTAGTTACAGCCTACTTTACCCCACTTTTGGCCATCTTTACAAACCCCAGGATTTTTATTTTCCTAGAGGTACCATGCTACGCGGGATCCACGAACCTCAAACCCCAAGCCCTGAGTCCTCAGTCCTCCTAAACCCAGCTGAACTTGCGGCCCCTTTTTGTAGATGGCCAGCATTCTTTGAGCAGCTCAGGCTACTATGCCACGACGCTGTCCGGCACTCCATGAATTAGGGAAACAGTAAGGGGACCACATAGTTTAGTCAGAGTGTGTCTTGAAGGGTGTTAGGTGTAACGGTTCAGCTGTTTTCAGTTTACTGGAGGGCGAGGGCTCACCAGAGTAAAGTCATTGTTCAGTTGATGGCTTGAATTTATATCGGTCTCAGGGCTTTTCCATCTAGGGATCAGCGTGCATGGACTTCTTTCTGTTTTGGGGTCAGGCCTCAGGGGGATTTATCTTGGGATTGGGATGTTGGGAACTTTTAAAGGGTATAGGGAACAAGGGATTTGCAATCAGGGATTAAGGCTTAAAGATGTGTGTTCAGGGATTACAGTGTTGTGATTTGTGTTTGCGGATTTGGGTTTAGGGTTTTGTGTGCAGGGCTCAATTTGTCTAGAGCACCCTTAGACGCTGACCTGCATGAGCTATAGATAATATCGTTGTAGTTGCAGATGCGCCTACACCAACCTCCCCCAACAGCTAAGGGTTGATACCCAAGACCATATCTTTAACCTGAATGTCCCTCTTTCTGTCCTTGCCAGCAAGCCCATATGGAACACAAAGTCTGTTATAGGAAATTTGAGCGTTGTCTGACATCAAAAGGAGTAGAATACATATGGAACCCGATGAAGGCCTATCCATGAGATTCCAAGACTCGTCTAGCGTTTGCCAACCAACATAGCCATCTGACTTGACGATATCGGTTTGAGGCCTAAGGGCTTGGGATCATAATCCTGATATGCCTGGAATATCAAATGCCCGACAACCTTGCTCTTGTCTTTTCTAGATGATGGTTGTCATAATTGTGGTGCCCCGGTATGGACTCCAATACGCCACAGTCCTTTCTCAAAGTGACCCCCAAGCTTTTGAAACCCTAATACCTATAGACCCTAATTTAATCCGAGTTTCCATGTCTCCTTTTCCACTTTTTTCTCTCCTATTGGGAGAATATCCCTAAACCGAAGAGTTCCTACATTAAACTGTTAACCTTAACATGGGTTTATTTGATATACCATACCCTAAACCCCCTTCTAATTATTCCTAGATGAAACTTTCTTCAGAGGAAGAGCGACCTGGTAGCCGACCCAGATGTGCAGCGCTTCGCCGAGCAGTTCTTCCGCTGTGCTGAGGCCGAGGGTTGCAGGATTGCTGGTAAGGAATTCAAATTCAGTTGCCATGAGATTTTTTTGTATACCCATATCATGGTAGCTTCGTTTAAGTTCCTTAGCAACCCAATTTAGAGAGGGAAGGTTGGATGCTGCCCCCATTTATTAACAGTTGGCTAGTATTTATTATATACTCTTTACAGCGTTGATAAAGACCCCTATTGTAGATTGTTACAGGGTGGGGGCAGTACCCAAAGTTCAGGGTTCGGGATGAAGAGATTTGGGGCTCGGGAGTCGGGGTTTCTGATCCAATCCGGATTTGGTGTTTGGGGTTCAGGACATAGGTTTTGGATCAGGGTTTGCGGTGCATGCTTTTGGGGATTCAGGGTTTGGGGTTCTTGGTGCTAGTTGGTGAATCTCCCAAGTGCGGATGTCTTTTCGTGTTCAGGCCCCATTTTTCATCTTCTTGTCCACTATAGGGGCAACATTGGAAACATTCATAAGTGGAGGGATTGGTAGCCTCCAACAGGGAATAGTAGGAATAAGAACTCCAAGTGATAACAGTAACAGTAAGAAGTAGGATGATAATAATACTCGCAGGTAGCCGATGCCGCGAGCTTGAGCCGGCTCGATGCACCGAAGCTCCATGGGGCATCTTCGCTGCAACAAGAGGAGGTGAGGGTTTTTATTGGGTTTATGATGTAGAGTTGTGGGGGTTACCGGGGTAGGGCTTATAGGGCGGAGCACAGTTTTATGGTTCAGAACGCAGGGTTTGGCAGGGTTCAGGACTTGGAGGGGTTTGGGTTTAAGCTTTAGGGGTGTGGTAGGGTTTCTGTTCTGTTGGAGGTAGGCTGCAGGATTTGGGGGGTTTCAGAGCTGATGCCTAGTGAGCACTAGCCGTTAACTTGAGTTCTGCGAGTTTTAGATCCTAATTTTCTAAACCAAGGCCTCAAAAAATGCCACGGCATCAGATGCCTGGGAATCTCGGCTGCCCTTGCATCAGGGGTTGAGGGTTTTGAGGCTAAGTGCTTGTGATGTGATTGAAGGCTTCATGGGTTTTAGCTGTTCAGTGTTGAGGCGCTCTAGGGTTTACAGTAGGGCTTTAGGGGATTTGGGGCTTGGAGTTTGGGGTTGAGAGTGTCAGCTTTTAGGTTTTGGGGCTTGGATATAGGTACGAGGTTTAGGACGATTTATTGTTGATTCGGCTCTAGGGCTGAGGGTTTAGGGCTCAGAGTTTTCTTGGGGTTCTTGCTTCAGGGCTCTTGATTGATCTTTCGGTGGCTCGGGGTGTTCCTGGCTTCCCCTCGCAAAATGGCAAGGGACAGCAGTCTTTTTGGGGCTCCCTTTGAGCTCCCATGTCAGGTGAAGAGAGGGTAGGGGTTTGCGCCCTTAGGCTTTAGCGGCTGGTTGGGGGCTTGTTGGGGTGGAAGAGGCTTAGGGCATGGGGTTTAGGGCACAGCTTGGGGTGTTCTGGATCGATGGGGGCGGCTTACTGCTAGGGGGTTTGTGGTGCAAGGTTTAGCATTGTGAGGTCACAGAGGAAACCTTACCACTTAAGAGCGCCCGAGCACACTCGCACTGCACTTCATCCGCAGTGTCCGCACGAGAGCAGGGCCACTGGCCGCAAGCAGCATCCATGAAACTCCCTTGTTAAGCGTCATGGCCATGTGTGTTCTTGTTTCCGTCTTGTGGGGTTCTACTCGTTACTGCTGCTCTTCTCCTCTTGGCATTCTCATCACGCATGCTGAGCGTTGCTGAAGGTTCTAGAGCGCCAGTGCCGACATGCACGTTAGATGGCGTCATGCGCATTGCTCCAATCAACAGCTTCTGCCCTCAGAACAATATTCGTTCACCTTCCGTGATGCTATGTATGTGTGGGGGCGTGTTTGCAGGACTGGTGTTGAGTTAAGTCAGTTTGGAGACGGTAAGTCGCCCAAAACCCACAGCACAACCATGAAGCCATAACCCTAAGCCCTGCATCCCGCATGAACGCTACACCGCTACACTCTGAGAACCACAAGCCGTCAGGATTTCTACGTCCAGTGGATCACTGGCGTGATGTGGTTGGTAACAGCAGGCGCACGATCAGACTTGGGAAGTTGACATGCGTGTTTAGGGTTTAAAGTCTAGGGATTTGTTCTTGAAATAGGGATGTCCGAAGGTCCCCTAAAAGCATTATGAAAACATTTTAGACTTAGGGTTTAGGATTTTGGGGTTCTCCAGATTGGGTAGCCTGAGGAACCTTAACGGGAGCGTGGAGATCCCGACTAGGGATAGGATAGGGTTTGCCTTGGGCCTTTCCCACCTTTGACAGGAAGATTGTTTTGGTTTGGGGTCCCAGGGTAGGGACTCGCGGGAGCTCCATGAATTTATTCAGATGCCCCAAACCCTATCATGCACACCTGCCACACTCCATGGTAAAGCCAAGACCCAAAATTTCCAAGGGCCCTGCCAGGTTCTTGACCTATATGGTTATTATCTAAATTCAGTCCTCTAATGCTGTAGCTGCTTGAAAGTATGATTAGTAGCCGGAACCTATGATCTTATCCCTTTAATCTACTGTTTGAGTTCACGAGGCAATACGCACATTCTCATGTCAGGTCCAAGCTTGAACCCCTGACCCGAAACCACCTGGCAATGCGCAGGGCATGAGCAGATGGGTGCAGTGGAGGTCTACGCTCAGGACGTGGTCTCGGAACTTTTATCATTTCTAGCATAGAGAGTTGTTCCGTAAGTTGGGGATTCAGGGAGGGTGTATGGAGTGCAAGGACTTCAGGGTTCAGGCTTCAGTGCTAACTTTTTTACAACTCGTTCAAGCTTGACAGGGTCCTGCATTTTGGGGTTGGGGGTCAGGCTGCGGAGATGACGACCATTGAAGTTTTCTGACAGAGAGGATCTTTTAGATTACTGCCCGAACAAAGGAAGCTTATATGGAGTGTTGTGCTACATTGGGAGAGGGTAGACATGCTGAGGTACAATGAACAAGTAGCTCAAGAGGCTGTGAAGCCCATTTTAGGGTTGAGGGTTGACGGCCAGACTTTTGTCCAGGAGTTTTGCTAGTAGAATACAGGAAGTCTTGCACTGCTTAGGATGTTATTCCTAGATTGCGGGGCCTATGAGGTGGTGCGAGATTTCCTTCATTGACCGTTAGGATCCACTTACAGAGCACGTCAACAGATTATGAGAGACTCCCACATCAGTCTCCTTAACCAACGAAGTACCCCATAGGCAAAGATTCCACAGAATCCACAGTCCCTTCAATCACTAGCACCAAAGTTGTCATTCTCTTCTTGGAGTAGTCAGACGATTCGGACCTTAAGGGCCCTTGCATGGCCTTCTAAAGTAGTAGTGGCGTCATGAGCATACGACTCCACGCAAAAACGAACCGCTAATCTTGTCAGACTGCTAATCTTGACAACCACATAAACAGTGGACCCACATACCTAGACTCGACCGTAACTGCATTGGTAGCTCAAACAGCATGACATGGTCTGGACCTTTTATCACTAGATCTGCTTTGGGGATTGAATTTTTAAGTTCCAGGCTAAAACTTTTACATAATGGTCTTAGGGCTGTAGACCCCGCACACTGTAGCTGCTGCATCACGTTTCTGCCAACCTGGAGTCCACATGTCTTGTGCTGTCTCAGCATGCACATAACAGCCGGACGTCCTATGCAGGATGCATCATGGGCAGCTTTCAAGTGGTCGCATGGAAAGATTCGAGGATCCAAGCAGACCGCAACTCTACAGGCACTGCTCCTCGGATTCTCTCAGTTGCTGTATGAGTAGCTGTCAACAAGTCTTGCAGTTTATGGGAAGTCTAAAAGTTCCAAACAGCTTAGAATTCGAAGTATTGGACCCTGAAGTCCAGGGCTTGATAGGAATCATGTCCGAACCATGTCCCGGAGTCTTGAAACTCGGCAAGCTGAAAACTTCGGTGACTTCCATTGTACCCTTCTATTCCGTGTGTGTCCCTCTGGTCCCCATGTCGTCGCTGTCCTTGAGACCTGCATGTGTTTTCCATGGCTGTTTGGGAGCTGAGGTTGATGTCATTCACAGCAACGCCCATGCCGAAGCTACTTTGACAAACCATGAGACGTGGTTATAGCTGAGCAAATTCTAACGACTTCAACAAACCTCTCCCCAGATTGTCGCTCAGGTAGAAGTACTTATAGTCCCAGAATTGTTTTGTCTCAAGCATTGGAGAGAGAATAGTCAAGCCAGTTGGGATTTTATGCTAGACATTCCTAGGTCCGTCCGTGTGGGAGAGACACGTCATGACCGGGCTATAGTTGCACAACCGAACATGTAGGGGTGCCTAAACCCTTGCGGTATGTAGGGATGCTGCAGGACCACATGTCATAGGGAATCCCCCTGAGGATTATGAAGGGAATGTTTTATGGTCTTTTCACATAGATACAATTTGGGTGGCAGTGATGCATTCGGATCTTCTGGCGTCCCCTATAGACATTAATCCGGATTGCATTGTCTTTTCGTAGTCTATTCACATGTTGGTGAGCATTTGCTTGCCATGTTGTTCAGCCTGGTGGGTGCAAGGGTGTAAGCGGCTTGGTGCTCCCCGATGCCCCCCAAGCTCTCTGAGGTAGCAAAGCCGCGTTATGTAAGAACAGCAATGATATGGTTGTCTCTCAAGATGATCCTTATGTAGTCCTCAAAGGGCGCTCCTACAATTTCTGTCTAAGCCCTATACATCCCTAGGGCCCCCCAGATACCGTACTCGAGAAATTTGTATCATGCAGAGTAGACTTGGTTCTTGCGGTGAACTATGATCTGTTAGCATTTGCGTTAGAAGAGGTGCTGCTCGTAAAGGAGATCTTGCACCACATGCTGCACATTGATTACTGTAATTCCTAACGTGGGATGTCCTCCTTCAACCACAAAAAGCGCGGGACAATAGATTCAAGTCGTGGGGCATGCCCGGCAATTGCAATAACGTCCTCTTCTAATCCCAGCATTGGGAAACAGGATAGCCCACTCAACAGTTCTCAGAACAGCCAACAAATTAAATCATTGTTCAGGTATCTGTTCATTTACTGTGGGGGGAATCAGGAATTGTTCAAGCCCTCTTGCGACCTTTCAGTATGACCTTGATGCATCTGTAGAACAGCGTAAGTTATTCCGGCAAAGGCCCGCGACCCAAATTGCAAGCCTCGACCCTAGAAAGTCAGCATCGATGGGTGCTGTGTATGTGTGCCCGCTTCAATGGCTTTTAGCTAGCGCATGGCGCATGTTTAACATTTCAAGCATCAGGCGCAATTGTTTCCTATGAAGTGTTGCCAAGAAGGTACCTAGATTTCAAGAATTGTCGGCAGGTTGTTTAGGCCTGAAGATGTGAGTTGCCTATTTTAGGCTGATACAGTAGACGCTGCAACCCTAAACCGCCAAGCCCTCTTCCCTTTCAATCTTAATTAAGCATTAAGCCTTATACCTTTACCCCTAAAGCCAGATCCTCGAACCTTGATCCCTAAACCCTATGCGCAAAACCCAAATTCTACCCCGAACAACCAACAAAAAAGTCCTAACTACCAATAAGATATTGAATCGGAATTCCCCATAATCCTTTCAGAATCCTTACACATTGCTCAGGCCACCAACCCTAAGACTCAAAACCCCAAATTTTCAATCCTGAACATTGAATCCCCAACCTTTAGAGCACGAATTGCAGGCTTCTTGGGGAGGACTGGTCCCACCTCTTCCCGCCAGCCAAAGCGTCGAGTAACGGAACGACTCCCAAGGAGCTTCGGGGGTTTGTGACTTTGGTGAGGAATGGTGCGAGGGCTTGGGGATTCAGGGAATCGTTTAGGGATGTGGGTTTTGAGTTGAGGGGTTTGGATTTAGATGACTTAGGTTTCAAGCGAGCCTGAGGGAACTCACCTTTTAAGATTATGTCCTCGCTATTGGTGGTACATTCTCAAAACACGGGGTTTCGGAGAGACAAAGGCTCTCCCCGGTTTGCCAGCCCCTTTGAGGTTTCTTCGTGAGTGTATGGTGTAGGGAATCCGGTTTGTGTAGGGTTTGGGTGTTGGGGATGTGGTTCAACATTTTGGACAACGGCTGCTAACCAAATGTGAGATAATGGTACGAGATATACAGATTGTGTGTGCAATCTATATGCGTGTGATTAAGCTGTAATATGCAAGTCAGCCATATAGAAGCCTGAATGATTGCTTGCGTGATTTCTTCATTAACCTTACATGATTACGGTGGAATACTGTAATCAACTAGGTCCCAACTTGATTGATGTAGATACTACCACGTTCTGGCTCTTTTGCTTACGGGCTTGAAAGACGAGATTGACAACTTTCGGCACCGCCTCTACCTCGTGAGAACGAACGTATGAACCAACATGTAGCTTGGCTCCAAAAAGGAACCCCAAACACAAGGGCCAAATCCTGAACCTCAGAAGCTTTCCACTAAAACTGCAACCCTAAACCTCGGCCAGCACCACCAAATTGCATGACCATTACCTACCTGGTGAGTGAGCGGGCGACATTCTGTAGCTTCCAAACATTCACGCTCAAGGCGCCTATCCCTCCCAGCTCGATGGAGGCTTCGCAAGCCTTGCTGCTCCCTCCACTTGGAGCTCAAGCTGGCAAACGGCCAGGCTGGCTGGACTGCCATTGCACACACCAGCAACTAGCCCATCAGGGCACCAGGCCGGGCCAACAATGTGGCCAATGCATTGGGCTGTGCCCGGCTCCGTGCTAATCGAAACCAACACGCTTCTGCGCAGAGAAGGGTGTATGATGCAACTCGATGGGGTTCCGAGCACTCACACAGTCGCTGTCTTTCCAGGACACGATTAAGTGGCAAAGGCTACATCCATCCACCCAAGCAAGTCTCATGTTCATGCGCTTTCGGACAAGCGTGAAGGCCATGTGGCCAACACGCAGCTTGGACAAGGAGAAATACACCTACTAAGTAATTTCTCTGAATATAGGGATTCTGGCAGAGCGTTCCTACAGAGGCTACAAAAACGGATTGGAATTAAGAAATTACAAATAAAACCTTGACATCTGACAGCCCTAAATTCCCTTGAGCCTCTGAGTTCAAGCCCGAAACTTCAAACGTCCATAAGGTATTTATATGGCCAAGGTTTGGGAGCCTGTTGGGCTTGGGATTTGGGATTAGAGTTCGTTTGCCAAAGGAACCAAGCTGTTAACGTAGTCTTCAAGTATTTAGGCTCTTACAATACTTGTCTGTGCATTGGTGGCTTTTGCGTTTTGGGGGGATTCTAGAACGCCACATAGAGCAAATCCTAGGCCGTAGATATTGAACATCCCAAAAATGTTTATGGCCGCATCTCGCAGGAATGCTTCAAGAAGTTCCAAGCTGAACTGGAGAGCATGGCGGCAACTGAGACATGGGTTTAGGGTCGTTCAGGGTTCTGTGTTGGATGGATGCATGTTTGGGCTGGTCTCTCTTTTGAGTCTGCTTCGGGTTTGTAGTGCTGGCTTGGAATTCTCATGCAAACTGTTAGGATTTGAGTCATATTCATTATTCTTGTTGATGCGGTTTTCACGTTGACTTATGAAAATTGATGTGTTGTAGGGGGGGTTTTGTGGGTGTCAGTGGGATATTGCCCTCGCCTTAGAACAGTCCCTCATAAGAGGAACTATAAAAAGATTATCCCGTAATCGCGGCTACACCTATGATTGTTACGAGGGGCAGCATCCGGATTTCCGATGTCACTGCTAGTGATTGTTGTTATGAGCTTCAAGCTTATGATTTAGAGTCTGAGGTTTAGGATTTATTGTTCCAACATTGAGACGCAGCTTGTTAGGATGTTGCGCGAGTTCTTCTTGTAAGTCATAGGGTTAGGCTTCTAGGGCTTTGTGGCATGTCTGGACTGATTGTTTGGTGTGTACGGTGTGCTGCCAAAGCAGCTTCTGTCGGTTGATTTTCGGTTAAGGCATGGACGAAGCTTCCCTGATAGCATCCTTCATGGACACACCCAATTTCGCGATTGAGACACTCCGCGTAAGAAATCCTTGGGGCAACCAAAACTTGCCTTTTAATCAATGGTTGATTTCAACCTTGGAAGATTCGGTGGACTTAGCAAGGCTTAGTAAGAATACGTATCACAATCCCTTTCCGCTACTGACGAAGTCCCCTGCCAAATAGTATGGGAGCCTACATTTGAATTTGCGGCGCGCTCAAGCCAGGCTGAAGGAAGTCTAAGAACCCGTCACCCCAAACTTTTAGTACTGCTCAGGGAAATCTTGAACCCTAAGCCCGAAAAACAAAACCTTAATCCATGAATCGAAGAGAAATGAATCCTGTGCCCAGGTAAAGTGTGACGACTACAACGCAAAAGCAAGCACCCGGATGTTTCCGAATCTTTTCCATTTACTGTGCCTGGTTAGGGCCTGGTCAAACAGGGCTTCTCCACATTATGTTTGGGATGCGCTTAATCGAATGGACAAAAAGGGACCATGGCTGTCTTGGGTTGATTTTGTAAATCTAGGTTACACAAGGCGATCCGATCTTGGAAGTGTGTATATATATATATGTATGTATACATCTCTTCCTCACAGGTACACTCCACATGAACTGCGCGAGTTTGGAGGGATGTCGCGACGCCACTGGCAGCGCACGCATTTCATCCTTGGGCTTATAGAATCCTAGTAATGATGAACTCTGAGCACCTGAGGAATTGCTTTCCCGTGTATGTCAACAACCCGCGTGTTTTGGAGACCAGTGTGAGTGTGTAGGATGCACTTGGAACCGGCCAGAGCCGATCCCTTGCCACAAAGTGCGAGGGCGCTTTCTAGCATTGTTCTTGTGTTGATGCTGCACCCAAACCTCCCATACCATATAGCCTCCCTGGTAAAGACTAACACAGATACGCAGTAATTCGCGTAGCTTTTGTCGTTCCATGGCTAGGGGAGCGTAGCCTAAAAAAGACTTAGAATTTCAGGGAACTAGCTGATGTTGAAAAATTCGCACGACCCTAGTATGACCCCTGCTGAACCCAGGGACATATCAAGCACTGCTCAGCTAAGCTGACGTGAAGGCAAGTTGTATGCCAGCCTGATGAGCTGCTGTCAATGTGCCACCGAAACCTGCGCAAGCATTGCCACCAACTGGCAGCAAGATCGCACGTGTAGAGCTGGCGATCGCTGCATCACAGCTGGGAAGTGTTTGCAAGGTTGCATAGACACATACTCCTCTGGCTCTTTATCTGTCCGATGAAACCTAGCCTAATGATATGAGACGAATCATGCTTACATGAAAAGTTTGATACTATGCTTCCATTTGCTTTAGAAGGGCCATCCGGGACTTTTTGCATCAAAAGTTTCACCTTTGCGTGATAGACTGTGCCTTGAAATATGAAAGCGTTTCGAAAAATCAGGCAGGCAGTCCAGCAGCTTGGTTTCAGGGTCTGAAGTAAACGATTCAGATATGTTTCAAGTTGAAAAGTTCAGCGTGCTGGCAGTTTTAGCCTCAAGGTTTAGGAGAGGATGTGAGGTGTAAAATGCAGGAAATCATGATTTCATTTGGTTTAAGATTTGGGAGTTGGATTTATATGATTTTGATTTTTAATTTTGCGTAGCGAACCCCTTATGAACGGCAAAGAAACCTGTCGTTCCTATCTATTTATATAGATATATATATATCTTTCTCTCTATCCCTTTATCTATATTTACCCTTCTTTCGTTATTTATTTTTCATCATAATTATTCTTCGATTTTTATTCATCATTCTATATCTTTCCTTCGTGATTTATGTATCTGAAGAAAATATCTATTCAAAATTATATATTTTCTTTCATATTTCTATTTTGATTCTTATTATTAATAATATTTATTAGATTTTTAATTTGATTTTAGGATCTCATTGGTACGATGAATATAATTTGATGATATTATCTAATTCTTTCTTTCTTTTGATTTATCTATACTAAAATGATTCAATTTCTTTATTATATGATTTGATTGATTATATCTATTTATTTATTTGATCGATTTCGATATTTGATTGATTGATCGAATTGATATATTTATGATTATTTATTGATGAATTATTATTGTATTCTTTAAAATCTTGCGGTCTTCTTCTATCTTTAATATGATAAGCTTATGAGACGTCTACTTTCTTCGTAACGTATTCGGATTATTTTCCAAAATATCTCGGATAATTTTAGAAATTATTCTTCTAAAATATCTGGGATATTTCGGAGGACGCGATCTTCTCCGGTCCAGATCGGTCTCGACTAAATTTGGAAAAGACCGCTTTTCTAAAATATCTCTATTATTTTGGTATTGTACTCGATTAAATGGGAAGCCGCTGTGTCTTTTGTAGCCGTTCATGTATTGCTAGTTGGTGGCGGTGATGGTGGCCAAGGCGGAGGCGGCGGGGGCGAGGCCGGATGAGCATGGGGGAGGGGGAGGGATCGACGGAGCGATATATTCAGAGAAGATTAGTAGATCTTCGTGGCGAATTATTGATTCGAAATCATAAATATTCATTTCAATTGAATCGAAACGGTATGTTGGGGCAGGTGTCAGGGTCCGTAGTTACGGCGGCGGCGGCGATCGTTGGGGTGTTGGTAATAATAAGGGTTGTTGGTCGCGGTAGTGGTAGGTGGCGATTGGGAATGTTGGCGGTGGGTTGTGGAGGGTGGTGGGGATGTGCGGGGAGGTCGTGGAGCGACGCGGCGATATTTTAAGAGAAGGTCATTAGATCTTGGATGCGGTCTGATATTGAATCTCTTTTATTGAAATGATTCCCTAAAGGATATTGGGATTTATTTATATAAGGATTAAGGTATTAGTTTGATTTTGGGAATTTATAAAATCTAGGAAAGATCTCTAGCAATTTTTCTTCATTCGATCTCTAAAGATTATTGAATCGTAGGAATTCAGGAGATATATTGAAGATTTATATTTTTTATTTTTCGGAAGGATTTGATAGAGGCAAGGGAGGAATTTTTTTTTATTAAAGAGGAACCGATATAGTTGATATAAAATCATATATGATATATCGTTGGAATTATGCCGGTACGTTTTATTCTCCTTTTTCTTGTCCTATCCGCCATAGAAATAAGTTATTAGGAAATCTTGGTTGTTAATTAGGCGTGAATATGCAAATTTATGGCAATGGCACCGGGAGTCGGGGTCGCCGGTCACGCCAGATTCGGGGCCTTGGTGCCGCAATATTTGGAGGCGGCGATTCGGTGGCGGCGAGGCCGGAGCAGTAGAGGAAGATTTTGAAAAAAGATCAGTAGATCCTTGAGATGGAGGGCCGATTCTAGATCGAAATTAGTAGGCCGGCAGCATCGTATGCAAATCTAGTATTCTCTATTACGTTTGCCGCGTGGACTTTTTCTGATATTCTTTATTCGTATATTATATTCAATACGGTTTATGAAAATTTTCTTGATTTGATTTAAATTTCTGAAATCGAAAGTTTTGAAATAAATTGTCTAAGATTATGATATAAAAAGAAAAAATATGATATATTTGAAAAAGAATATTGAGAATTCTATATAAATCGAAATGAAAATGAATATAGAATATGATGCTATTATATTGCCTTCAATAATTTATGAGGCAATCATATGTTTCTGAAATATTATTACGATATTTGTATATCGTATAAGAATTGATGTAAATTTCTAAATAAAAAAACGATGAAATATTTTTGCGAATTAAAGTATTTCGATAAAGACTTATTTATCTGATTCAAATTCTATTAAAGAAATGAAAATCTTATTCTGATATTCATAATTTTATGAATTTCTAGTAGATCTATTTATTTTTCTAATTCTAAAATATTTGATAATATCGTTATTTATGATATTTATGATATATTCTTATAGATTTGATTTTTAATTTGAATTAGAATTACGTTAATTTCTATAATCTATTAAATCAGATAGGAACCGTAAATCCGAATATAGATACGTATCCCATATATATAGATACGTATCACCTATATGTAATGATAAGAATCCCTCCTCTTTCTTTTCTCTTTTCTCTTTCTCCTCCTCTACCTTTTCTCCTCTCTCTTTCTCCTTATCTCTCTTTTCTTTTCTCTTTTTCTCTGCCTCTCTCTTTTCGCCTCCTCTCTCTCTTCTCTCTCCTCTCTTCTCTATTATCTTCTCTCCTCTCTCCCCTCTTATCTCCTCTCCCATCTCTTCTCTCCTCTCTCTTCTCTCCTCTCCTCTCTCTCCTCTCTTCTCCTCTCTCTCCTCTCTCTTCTCTCTCCTCTTTCCTCTCTTCTCTCTCCTATCTCCTCTCTTCTCTCCTCTCTTTTCTCCTTTCTCCTCTCTTCCCTCCTCTCTCCAGAGACGAATGGAAAAGTGACGATAATTCTGGGTTTCGCGACTACGACCCTTCCGATCCTTGCAATTATTGACACTTTTGAGTCGCGAAAACGCAAAACGAGTCCAAAAGTTCCAACAATTCTGGATTTCACGACCACGAACCCCCCGATCCCTGGGATTGTTGACACTTTTGAATCACGAAGACGCAACAGGATTCCAACGGAGACGACAGTTCTTGGTTTGGCGACCACGACCTCCCCGATCGCTTTGATTGTTGAGTCTGGTATCGATATTGTTATGCAGGAATATACGTTTCCGTAGCCTGGATTTATTTATCCTATTCTTGGAAATTGCATTTGTTGGACCAACCGAAGAACAATGAATTCGCGATAACTTGATTGGTTTGGCAAGCAATTTGCTCTACAGCGGAACAAGAAACTTGCATGCAGGCCAGGGCTTTTTGAAGTTTTCGGTCATGTTTGATTTTTTTCAATGAAAGCATTATGCACAAAATCGTCAATTTCATTGCAAGTTTGAAAGTTTTAGACCAAATCTTAAGGTCCACTCTTATCCTATCTTACCCCACCCCGACTTAACCACAAGCGGCACTCTTTTACACTGCGGCTGCAGTTTGTTGGGGTGCGGTTTGGGCCTAAACGTAACAAAGTGGATTTGTCACTTTTTTTGAGCTCATCAAAGGGACACATGTACAATCGAAATGTTTGTTACGCCCTCTTCCGACTCACGTGGTGCTCTTCATCCACTGATGTCGAACTCTAACTGTACATGGCATAACTCACATCTTCTTGATCATACACTTAGCAGTCAAAGTCCAGAGATCACT